AATGCTACACTTCGAAAGTTGCATCCAGTTTTGGTCACTATGATATCTATCTATATAAATAAAAATGTAAATGTTCATTTGTTCAAAATCTTAAATCTCCGAACGTTCTTCACCGATTGCTTTGAAATTTTGACACACCATTGCATTCGAATATGCACATGTTTTTATATACCTAAATTATATAGATGTCACACCTGTGACAGGTAAAAATACGCTTTTTTGAAAAACAGTTTAAAAACATGCTTTTTTGAAAAACAGTGCCATCTGTTGGACGTACTCTCTATATCTGCACACACAATGGAACAACAAAAAATATTGTATACCCACAAGCATTGTGAATTAAATATATTACAAACGTGCACTTTCTCTTTTCTTCTTGAGCCACAGCAACGCGTGGCTGGGTACAGCCAGTAAAAAAATAAATTGAAATTCTAGAAAAAGCACAGAGAAGAGCAGCAGATATGATTAGGGGACTGGAGGCTACAACATATGAGGAATGGTTGAAGGAATTGGAAATGTGTAGTTTAATGAAAAGAAGAACTAGGGTGACATGGTGGCAGTCTTCTAATATTTGAGGGGCTGCCACAAAAAAGAGTGCGTCAACTTATTCTCCAAAGCACCTGAAGGCAGACCAAGAAGCAATGGATGAAACAAAGAGAGAAACAACCTAGAACTAAGGAGAAGTTTCCTGACAGTGAGAACAATAAACTAGTGCAGGGGTAGGCAACCTTGGCTCTTTTATGACTTGTGGACTTCAACTGCCAGAATTCTGGGAGTTGAAGTCCACAAGTCACGAAGGAGCCAAGGTTGCCTACCACTGAACTAGTGGAATGGCTTGCCTTCAGAAATTGTGGGGGGCTCCATCACTGAAGGTTTTTAGGAAGAGATTGGACAGCCACTTGTTCAGAATGGTATAGAGCAGGGGTGTCAAATTGCTGGCCCATGGGCCAGATACATCATGCCGAAACCGCACCCACCCCATTGCCGGCAATGGAAAACAGTCACGATACATCACAACATGTCACATGATGTTGCGAGTTTGACACCCCTGGTATAGAGTCTCCCTTCCAACTGTGTTATTCTGTTTGGGGATATTCAAATATTCAATATTCAGCTATCAGTATGAGTAATTCCATTCATAAGTTTGTCTCAGAATAAAGAAAGGCAGCCAACAAGGCAATCATAAAAACTAGAAAACTCTCTCATTCATGTCAGTGGAAGCACTTGGAATATTGGCTGGTTCCAAACAAGAGCGGGATATGCTCTGTGCCCAAGTATATATACGTACATGTTAAATGTCATTCTTTATTTCATTTTGCATTGTCAGCATTCTTGGGGATTTACAAGTGCAGAAGTTGATCACTATATACACAAAAGATTTCTCATAAGGGCTACTAAATCTCTAGGGCAGCTGAGTTATATGGGAATTACACAAAAATGTGAATCTGTGGTCCGTGGTAGACTGGAAGCACAAGGGGATGTCCCTTTGTCAGCTGTACTCATGGAGGAACTTGGCCCACTGAGCATCCTCAGTAGACTATCCAGATGTTTAGGGAACCTTCATGAAAGATTCATTTCTTGTAGAAAGAAATGTCTACATCAGTTATGTCTAGTCACTACATCAGCAGTACTAGCATGTTTCATTTTGGCATTCATTCATTTCAAACTAAACCTATCTGCATCCAGTTTTGTTTTACAGACAATTGTCTTCAGAAAAGATAAGACTGCCTGTCCTTCAGGACTCTTCTCAAATTCCAGTTTGGGAAGGGGTCAGTTTGTTGCAAAGATCCCTGAACCATTCTTAATGACATGAATCACTAGTACAAAATCTTTGTCCTTTTGGATATTGCTGAAATATAATCAGGCCAACATAGTGACTGAAAATTTGGGGGATTGTTATCGCAACATAGCTAGCAAAGCACTAAGCCCTTTCCTCTCCTATTTTCCTGCAACCAATTTTGTATTAGGAAAATAACATTTTCTCTAAAGTTTCACTGGTACTAATGGCAAATGGGCCAAATTAGATCCATGTCATAGTCTTTTGCTTAAAAACAATGGCATAGGGCAGGGCTTTTCAACCGGTGGCACGCTTACCACCTGCGCTACTTTGGCACCTGGCAGGTGGTATGTGACTCTCCTAGACAAGTGTAGCAGGGGAAGGGAATGAGCTGAAGCAGTGGCAGCACTGCACAAACCTGAGGGAGAGACAGCTGGAGCTGCAGGGCTGTCGGGACTCAGCAGAAGCCCCAGGATCGGTGCGCGCAGCTACAGCTGATCAGTGCTTGTGCAGGGCTATGGGGGCTGGGCAGGAGCCCAGGATTGGCACCTGCTTCTGCAGGGCTATGGGGCTGGGCAGGAGCCCAGGATTGGCACGCGCTTCTGCAGGGCTTTGGGGGCCCAGCAGAAGCCCCAGGATTGGCGCATGCTTCTGCAGGTCTATGGGGCTGGGCAGGAGCCCAGGATTGGCACCTGCTTCTGCAGGGCTATGGGGCTGGGTAGGAGCCCAGGATTGGCACGCGCTTCTGCAGGGCTTTGGGGGCCCAGCAGAAGCCCCAGGATTGGCACATGCTTCTGCAGGGCTATGGGGGCTTGACAGAAGTCCAGGATCAGTGAGGCACTTCTGCAGGGCTTTGGGGGCTCGGCAGAAGCCCGAGGATTGGCACATGCTTCTTCAGGGCTATGGGGGCTTGACAGAAGCCCAGGATCAGTGAGCACTTCTACAGGGCTATGGGGGCTGGGCAGGAGCCTCAGGATTGGCATACGCTTCTGCAGGGCTATGGGCTGGGCAGGAGCCCGGGATTGGCACATGCTTCTGCAGGGCTTTGGGGGCTCGGCAGAAGCCCCAGGATTGGCCCATGCTTCTGCAGGGCTATGGGGGCTTGACAGAAGCCCCAGGATTGGTGTGCGCTTCTTCAGAGCTATGGGAGTTCGACAGAAGCCTAGGATCAATGCGTGCAGCTACAGCTGATTGGCATTTCTGCAGGGCTATGGGGACTCGGCAGGAGCCCAGGATCAGCACGAGCAGCTACAGGTGATTGGTGCTTCTGCTGGGTTATGGGGCTTGGCAGGAGCCCAGGATCAGTGCGCATTGCTGCAGGGGTGAGAGAGAAGCCCCAGGATTGGCACTTCCGGTGCACACAGAAAAGGTGGGGAGAGAGGAGAGGCTATAAAAGGAGAGGGTTTTGGCGGGAGAGGGAGAGGGAGAGGAAAAACAGATAATGGGGGGAAAGAGAAGGGGACTGCAAAAGAGAGATGGAGAAGTGGAGAAGTGCAGCTTTGAGAGGAATAAGTTGGAGGTGCACGAAAGAGAAAAGAAGGGGGGGGGAGAAAGAGGATATAAAAGAAGGGGTGAGAAGAGAGGATATAAAAGAAGGGGTGAGAAGAGAGGATATAAAAGAAGGGGAGAGAAGAGAGGATATAAAAGAAGGAGGGTGGAGAGGATATAAAAGAGGGAGGAGAGAAGAAGGGATATAAAAGGAGGAGTGAATCTGGTTTCTCCATTGACTTTGTTTGTCAGAAGGTTGCAAAAGGGGATCACATGATCCTGGGATGCTGTGACCATCATAAATATGAATCAATTTCCAAGCATCCAAATGTAGATTGATCCTGGGGATGCTGCAATAGTCATAAGAATGAAAAATGGTCATAAGTCACTTTTTTCATTGCCGTAGTAACTTTGAACAGTCACTAAGTGAACTGTTGTAAGTTGAGGACTACCTGTATTTTATCACTTTTTCCCCTTTTTTTGGTCATCACATTTTTGACACCTTGCCAGGTGACTGGTGGTACTAGAATATTGCCATATCCTAAAAGTGGTACAATCTGTGAAAAGGTTGAAAAGCCCTGGCACAGGGGATAAAAGAGAACATGAAATAGTTCTGCATCCCTCCTTGTTTCTATCTGAAATATCTCTAAAGTACCTTTCTCTCCCTCCACAATGGTTTCCATAGACAGTTTGCAATGCTATGTATCTACATAGGGCAGTGATGGCGAACCTTTTAGAGACTGAGTGCCCAAACTGCAACCCAAAACCCACTTATGCATCATCGGGTGCCGGGTGGTGTGGCCCATTGGCTGGGTGTGGCCCATTGGGTAGGCATGGCTGCGGTGGTAATGGCAGACTGTGTGGGACTAAAAGTTCAATCAATCAATTCCAACTTTGCAAGATCTTTTTTTTCCCGCGAGAAGTTGAAATTGACTGATTGATTGAACCTTTTTTTTTTTTTTTTGCACATAGGGCAGAGGCCTAAAGCGAAAAGGTTTTATAAAACCCAGTTGAAGGCCTAGGGCTGGGGCTACGGTGCGTATACTCACAGAGAGGGCTCTGAGTGCCGCCTTTGGCACCCGTGCCATAGGTTCGCCACCACTGACATAGGGCAAAAACACCCTCCTGACCCAATTTATACTTAGGAATCAAATGGCTCTTTTGTACCTGGATAGATGTCAACCTTCTTGAGTGGTAATTTAGAGAGATGGGCTGAACTACTGAAAAAGAAGATGAAATTTATTTCATTGTTTTGTCTTCTCCGTTTCCCGACCATGAAAGTTATCGGACCCAATAGGTAGAATATTATGCTTTGAAAGCTTTCAAGTCTTCCCTGGACTACCATTTTTGGTATCTGTAACTGGGACTTCAGGGCTAAGAGTAGTCAAGAGATTCTTTGTCTTTATGCCTAAGTACAGTTACTTGGAAGTAAGACTCACTCCATTTAGTGGAACTCTTGAATGCAGATGAATAAGATGGGAACTTCTCATTATTCTACTTGATACTTAGATTAACACATCCCGCTAATTACTTTGAAACAGTGTTTGCTCATTAAGGTAGCAATTTAACCTGACAGGAAGATTGATTGGTAGGCAACACAATTCTACCTGCATTTCTCTTAGCCAGAAAGATGGTGGTAAAGGCAACACCTCTGACGTTCACATGTTATTGCTGCTTAGAAATTATTTCCAAGTACATAAAATCAGCATTGATTTTATTGCTGTGAAATGTTCACTTAAATGGGGTCATATTTTCTTAGGGTCATGTCTAATAAACAAGTCATATAAGAAACAGAAAAAGAACTATGCATTTCATTGCCAAATTATAAAGGATCCCATCAAAATGGGAGGGGAAATCATGACATCTTGCTTGTGTCTATGTGCTCACTCACATTTAAATACTGTACAAGTACAATGATTGCTATACAGAGTCCATCATACAAAAGGAAAAGTCGTGGGTTTGAATTAAAATCATTTTAAACTGCAAATGAAATCGGACCTTTATCTGATGTGGGAAAGCCCCCTGCTCTTCCCAGTCTCCTGATTTGCAATCCAGCCAGGAGAAAAATTATTTGGAAGTCATCTCTCAGAGCATTTCTATTGGCCTGAAATCCCTTGCTGTCAGTTTCTCTTGCCCTTTTATAAGTCAAGTGTCAAGGAGCACGATCTCTTTGAAGATCAACTGATAGAGAACAATCCTCATCTCTTTCTGGTGGATTAGTGTCCAGAGCAAAAAAGGACCCCCCCCTTTTCTTTTATTAAAAATCACCAAGAGTAGAGAAGAATGCAAGTAAAAAACCCAAACAAAAGAGAGTGCCATCAGAGCAGTGCTTCTACGAAACAATCATGCTTGTGAGGAAATTTTGAAAGCAAGTATGAACAGGATGTCGTATTTACACAGAAGTTTGAGGGAGACCATTCACTATATCTGTTCCTGTTTGATAGATCATCAAGTTAAAGGCGAAACAGTCATACTACACATCAGACAGCAACGAATAATTTTTCCCTCCGGTGATATGAAGCTTCAGGCTATATTATATTCAGCTGCAGCTTACCTCTTTGTCTCAGACAAGTGGTTTCCACACTATTTATTTTTTTAGATATGCATTGTATAAAAATATGTGAAGGATGTCCTATGTATGGCTGTATGTTAGACAGAGAAAAGGGATCTTTGGATATTGAGCTTACTCATTAATCAATAAAAACAGAAAGAGCCAATTGGTCCCTTAGAGACCTAGTGAGATATTTAAATATGAATTGAACCAGGAAAGGACTATACAGTTTCAATGAAGTTTTTGCCAGGATTTCAAAATTAGGGAAAAGGCCCTAAAATAATAGGCAATCTTTTGACAACAAGTGGACCCTTGAATGTGGAATGTACAATCTCAAGTGACCTAGCCATTCTGACTGAAAACATCTTCTCTTTCTTGAATGTAGAGTAACATTTCTTAGTAAAAGCAGTCATTGACAGATCTTATTATCATTATTTGGTGGCTGCTGCCAGAATCTTAACAAGTGACAGATCAGACCAGAGACTTGGATCTCTTACCCACACCAGACACATGAAATTCTACCTAGCAAGGTTAAGCTTATTAAATTCATTTTTGAATTTAAGCTTATTAAATCCATTTTTGAATACACTCACATGGCCTACAGGACATGACTACAATTTCTTTTTTTTAAAAAATCATAAGTTTAGCCATATCTGAGTGAAATTACAATTATTGCTTAGTGCTTGGATTCTGCTATAACATCATTGACTTTGATGGAACTACATTTGTACCTTTTTAATTTTGATTGGGTGGTTGATTTTTTTGGAGGGGGAGGACAAATGTGTCCTATTGAAAGATATGCTCACTAGATGCAGCGTATTGGCCCATAATAGCTTTATATAACAAGGCAGTAATATGCTTAGGCAGATCAAGGGTTTTGAATGAACTGTGCCAGGATACTGGATGAGATTTCAATATAGGTAGTCCTTGTTTACTTACTGCCTTGTTTAGCAACCATTCATAGTTCTGACCATGATGAAAAAGTAACTTTACAATCAATCCTTGCATTTGTGACCTTCACAGGTCTATAAAGCAAAGGAAAACTGAAGTAAGATCTTAAGCACAGTGGCAATTTCGCTTAGTGATTGCTTTGCTTAATGATTGAGTTGCTGGTCCCAATTGTGTTTGCTAAATGAAGATTACCTACACGCCGCAGTGGTGGGATTCAGCCAGTTCGCACCAGTTTGGCAGAACTGGTAGCTAATTTTTTGTTGCCCAGGCCCAGAATGGACTTCCGGAAGCGGCATCCACACAGAGAACCAGTTGTTCACATATCTGAATCCCACCATTGCTAATTTGTGACTCAGTCCTGACAAATAAATCTAACCAAGCTGATTTTGGCTTATCTCAAAAAGTTCATGGGAGTAGGTTAGGTGAGGTTAGTATTCCAGGCCTTTAGACTAGGTTAAAATTAGATAGCTATAAACTGCCACAAAGCAGGAAGCTGGGCATTAATTTCCTTATAAATATAATACTTTAAAGAAACCCACTTGGAAGATGACAATGGCAACCCAGTTCTATATTATTATCACATAAATTTCATTGGTGACTTGAATGGGCAGACTTTACCGCTTGGGGTTTTACTTCCTTCCTGGATTAAAAAGAACTCTTCACAGCTTCTGGTAAGCATATCACCATATCACGCATATTACCATGGCAGTATGAGAGCCAGGAACCCGTACATGAGTATGTCTTCTAAGGATGGTCACCTTAGTTTATTTTTACACCCTCAATTTGTTTATGACAAGACAACATCTGCAGCAATGGGCACCCTTTATGCAGACTGTGCTAGGAGAATCTTGCCTAGTCAAGGATGCCCGGAACCTACTTACTTACAACAATTCAGCATATACGTTATTTTTCCAGGCATTCCTGGGGATCTGCCCCAGAGAACTAAAACAAGGAAGAATAACCTGGGCCTGCTCTCTACCACCACCTGGAGAACATCTGGTGTTGAATCAGAGCTGTTATGAAAAAGGAGGCAAGAAAACCCAGAAATATCAAAATAATACATTAGTCCTCTGCACTCTCTTCTTTTGAACCAGCAGCATACGTGACTATATGTTATTTCTTGCTGAGATGAAAATGGGCTAATGAGTTGAAATGCAAATGGGAAAGACTTACACCAAGCAGAGGTAAAAAGGTGATAAGGTCCAGGCTTATTCATTCTAATCTGTGATTTCATCCTGAGGGTGATCCTTGAATGGGAAGGACAGGACCTTGATGGGCTTTGACATAGCACTGACGAGGATCCTTTATACATTCCCAAGGCCTCCAATCATCAGTCATGACAATGCAGTGATTGTACTCTTAAGAGCTCTGATATTTTTCATTTCTCAGTCCGGGGTCTTTCATATGATGTCAGAAGTGAAAAGAGGTGTTTGTTTGTGTTTCGTCCATCAGATGGGTGGAGTGATACAATTTTTCCCAGTGGTACAAGTGTATCCCATGATGATGTATTTTCATGATCCTGAACAGCCTTCTGGAGTCTAGAAATGCCAGGAAAATGTGCATTGGTATAATGTTTGGAATGATTAAATGAATGCATGTGCGTGCGTGCGCGCGCGCGCACACACACACACACACACACACAAACACACAGCAGTTTCAAGAGCAACACTTAAAAATGGATAGTCTCATCACATGGTTGGTGTCCTTAGAGTTGTCTGGGTTGGTGGATTTTTTACAATTTTTTTCTTTCCCCCCATTCAGTTTGGTCCACAGGAGCTAGATGAGATATACAGGCATATATAGATATAGTTAGATAGATATATGTTTCTTTAAAAAAAAATAACAGCAAAGTTCTCTGGAAATAGATTCTGCCTGATGTTGCTAGTCTGTCTTTTCTGTTTTGCCCTCTTTCACTGCTGCCTCTGACGTTTTCCTCAGTGGGGCTTTCTCTGAGTTGCTGTGTCCTTGGCCGGATTCTGGTGCTCCACCATTTTTGTGCGCTGTGTGTTTTTCCAAGTAGTTCAGCATTTCACTTAGAACAGTTTGGAAAGTGCTTAGGGCAGCACAAATCGCAGGAGTTCCAAAGCCATGAGTAATCAAACTGTAAAGCAGGCAAAAAAAGAGAAAAATAGGAAGAGTTTACTATATGTATATATGTGTGCATATTTCATATATGTATCCTGTGTGTGTGTGTGTGTATAATGTATATAAAGATATATATGAAATGTATATAAAGAATATATATAGAGATAGAGATAGATAGATAGATAGATAGATAGATAGATAGATAGATAAAATGTATATAAAGGAGAGAGAGAGAGATAAACTTGCTACCAAAATATTTATTATATTTATTTATTTACAAATTTATAAATTGCCAGCCCCCAGCAAACACATCCAGGCAGATATGATGTCAATGGAAGTGGTGTGAACTCCAATGCAATGCAAGTCTGCATAAATGCACACTAAGAAATTCACCCTAAATTGCATATGGTTACCAATGGACTTACCTCCTCAGGTGTTAAAGGGTCGGTTTCCATGAAATAAATAATCCCCACCCTCAAAGTGAATGTGCTTCATTTATTTTAGACTTAAAAGGGTGCAAGTGGTAAGTATTTGTGAAATGTATATCAGCCACAGCTGTCTTCAGGCAGGAGCTGTGAGCCCAAGAGAAACCCCAGCTGATGCACCAGCTCTGATTTAGGGAGTGTAACCTCAGCCAGAGTTGGCAAAGCACTAGGTGCTAGGGGTAGAGGTGGAGCTCTTAGGGCCCACAGCCAATTAACCTTGTCAGGGTTAAGCCAAAGCTGTTTCTTCCCCATTCAGCCACCAGGTACTGGGAAAGCAGCACTGAGATGGTCAAACAGTGAAATATACCATTTACTATCATTAGCATAATGATGATACTTGATCCTAAGCACATGTTGACCTCTTCATAAACTCACCACTACCAAGAGGTCCCTGCCTGCCTTTGAAACAGCTTGTAAACCAAAGTAACTAATTAATTGATGGTGATGACAAAAAATGATCTAAAAATTAACATAATAAAATAGTACAGGAATAGTAACCAAAGCAATAAAGAAGGAAATAAAGCAGCTAATCTTAGTCTTAACTAAGTTCTGGAATGTTGTAAGGGAAGAGGCAGGCCTCACTTCTAAAGTAACATTATTCCATAAGGCTGGGGTGCTGCAACAGGGAATGAGATGTAACTAAGAGATTCTTCCAAGAGAATCACACTGGACATGCTGATTCTGCTTAGAGAAGGAAGTCCAACAGATACTTGGGCATCGCATCATATAGAGTTTCATGTGTCAAAATGAGCTTCTTAGGCTGCACCAGAAACTGTGTAAACAATGGAAAGTCCATAGCATCACATGCTCTTTGCAGGGAGCACCTGCCAATAAATGGACTGCTTTCAAGACTCCTCATGCACTGCAGTAGTCCAGCCATGTAGTAATGAAGTTTCTCTATTTAACCATAAAAGTAATGTTTGTAATCACCCAGAGTCACCCCTAGATGAGTTGGGCATCACATCAATCAATCAATCAAATAAATAAAAGAGGTATTTTGTCACTCTTATGAGATCTTTTTGCCTCAGGTATGACTATTGGCACAAACTGGCACCTGGCCATAACCTCCATCTTTCTATTCGGTAGTAGGTCTGATTCCAAGAGTACCCAGAGTAATTGATCTAATCCCTCAGTGCTAAGCCTACAGAGCTGACTGAGAATCTTGATGAACAAACAGTAGCTCCATCTTACCTGGGTTCATTTTCAGTCTATTTTGTCCTATGCAGAACTCTTACAGCCTCCAGGCAAAATTTCCATAGCATTATCCATAAAGCCCAGGGTGGTGATGCACAACTGATTATTAGTGCAGTGATGATATTGAACTGATGGATGACTTCCCCCATTGGTTTTATGTAGATGTTAAACAATAGGATGAAAAGCGTAAATGCTTTGGCACTCTACCAGTGAGGGACATAATGCATCACACTGATGCACAAAATAGTCCGAGTGGCCAGGTGAGATATTTATTTCTCCCTGAAAAGTTGCTGACAACCTATTGGTTACATCCCAGCCTAGATGTCTGCATTGCCATCTAGAGGGAATGGATTGAAAGTACCGCAAATGTTGCAGTTTCCAGAAGGTCTTTTCAATTGTGGTAGAATAGAAATATGTTAAATAATAAATCATATTCTGCTTAAATGTTGCAGGGAGAATATATGGAACATTTTTGTAGTATCCAGTGACTATTCCTTTAAAAATTTGTGGCCTCTTTTCCAGGAAACCAGCTGACGAGCCAACAAGAAGCCCATGGTCTTCAACAATACATGACTCTGTATTCATTTGTGGATGAATCTAAGAAAAACTTCCTGGACTGGATTTCTTAGGACTAGATTACTAGATTAGAGCTACAAACTGCCAGGTGACCATTTGCTGTTAGTAAGAATTTATGTTTTCTATGTCTTTAATGATCACCCAGATTTGTGCAACCAAAATCTAGGAGCCTAGGCTTTCTCCATTCAGAATTATCTCAGGATTTGCTGCCAGAAGTTTTTGAAAATGTCTGTGCTGATGGGCCACATTGGCCAATATATTGTATGATCCAAATGAATGAGTCCAAGCTAGGCCACTATCATTCCTTTTATAGAAATAGAAAACTGATCATCACTTGATTTAGTTCTGGGCAGAGAAGGCATCCCATCCTCAAACACTGCCATTAAATATTATCTTAAAAAAAAAAAGCATTTCAACTACTTGGTTATACTGAAAGGGTTCAATGAGCCAAGCAAGTTCTCAGCATAGGTTAGAAATCTACTCTTCCCTCTGGATAAAATATAGATTAATTATAGAGAAAATCCTGAACATCAGGAACTCAGTTTGTTCATACTTGCCAAGAATCTTCAGGGATCTTAAAAGAGAAAGGGAGGGGCAGTCAGGTCTATTGCTAGTCTTTTCTAGTCATTATGCAGTTTTCTCAGAGCTTGATGTTATGTTTTAATGATATTTTTTCATTGTATATCAAAGCAGCCCAACTGGCCTCAAGACTTGGACTCTTCTTCAACAGCATCTATAAGGTATCTCACATCCTACCCGACCCTTCCACCTCCATCCCTCAAGGCTGACACAATTTAGTCCTTCTGCAAAGGAAATACTTTCATTTTCCACAGAGAAGGGGGAGAAGAAGAGGAGGATGCCATCTGTCTATCTCCAGTTTCCAACAATGGCCAAATCTGGGTATCGCTAGCAGCAGAAGTTGCTATCAAATATTTACAACATACTGTGGCTGATGGATGATACTCAAAAAGAGTCACATTTTTCTATGCTAAGCCTTGCTCATATGAAAAACATCTGGTTCCAGGGATGGACCGTGTGATTTCAACAGCGTCTACCTGCACACCATAGAATATCTTAAAAGATAATTGTAGTGTTTCATCTCAGGCCTCGACTTCAGAGAAATTACCAGCATTCCATGGAGTTGATGAAACGGGGATCTACAGTAAACCACTCCATTCTTTACAGCAGTGTTTCTCAACCTTGACAATTTTAAGGCATGTGGACTTCAACTTCCAGAATTCCACAGCCAGCATTGCTGGCTGTGGAATTCTGGGAGTTGAAGTCCACATGCCTTAAAATTGTCAAGGTTGAGAAACACTGCTTTACAGTAATCCACATGGGGCGACACCTTCAGATTTTTTTAAAAATTACAAATGCCTTTTTAACCAGCCATGCTTATGCATGGCCATCATTATTTCACTCATCACCTAATAGTCTTCAGATTAATCCTGAGATTAATTACAATTAAACCAGCGTAAAATGTATTGTGTCTAGTGGAGCAGCATAGACACAAAAAAGGGCAACCTAAATGATGAGGCGGGTAGAACGGCTCCTTCTCACAATTGTACTTTTTAGCTTAGACAAACGATGGGGCAAAAAGAGAGATGATCCAGGTGCATGAAAGCATGCACGAAATACACAGGGCTAAAGTAAGAAACATCATGCAATATAGATGGGATTAAGTTTTTCTGCCACAGAATTTAGGGCTTTCCACTGAAATTAAATTTCAATATTGAAAAAAGGAAGTAGGTGTGTAAACAATATGCTTTAGAAATATGAAATCTGATGCCAATCCCTGGTAATGGCTATTAATTAAGATGGCTTCGAAAGGGAGAACTAGAAAATGTACTGGATGAATTACAGAGAGCATATCTTAAATATCAGCTGTTAGAAAACCAAAGCAGAGGAGGGCTATCATCTTTTTATCAATGCTTATCAACTGCTGGAAAACATTTAATCAGTGTGATGCAGAATGGCCAATAACTTGATCCAGTTGGGCTCTTCTTTGGTTTTTAGTTTAGATAGTCTCATGTTCATAGCAGGCAACATAGACCTTTGCAAAAAAAAATTAGTTACTGTGAAAGCCTATGTGTTTAGAGAACAGAGTGCAGGGATCTTTTTTTCAGGCATTTACCCAGATGTTGGAAGTAAGATCACAGTAAACTGTGCAACCTGGTCATGTAGCTACTAATGGGAATCCTGTCCTCTTGACATTCTCTTGGGCAGAAGTCATAGAAAATTATTTGTCTACCTAGTGTTTTTGTGTCACTCTTGCAACTGCAAGATGAAGGAGGATGAAGAGATCACTAGGAAGATTTGGCAACTAGAGCTCATAGTTATTCTTGTAGTACTACACTTGATCTTAGCCAAAAATTCTACAAGCTGTTATTAGAATAAACACATGAAATTCAATTAAATCAAGAAACATTATGGGTGTTCTAAGGGTAATACTTATATTTCTATTTGTTTTGAAGACAATATAGTACATAATAATTGGGGGAAACTTACATGCTATTATAGGATAGGGAGATCATATTCTATGTGGACTAAATTAAAAATTGTATGACTTCTAGAATTTACAAAATAATTGCTAGAAAAATCAAGCCTATCTTTGCATCATACAGTAGATACAAGATAATGCTTCATGTGTATTTGCTCCAACCATGGTACCATTCCACCATATTTTTATAACTGATATCTGGGAAAAGCTAAGCAATTTTTCTCACATTATTCTACTTAGGCAAAAGTGGAATTGTATTTGAAATAGAATGCTCTTTTAGAGGCAACAATGAAAGTGTAAGTTTATATTCCTTCCTTTCATGCTTCCTTAGGATGAGACATCAAGTCTACTTCTTTTGAACAAGAAACATTTAGTTCTTTCAAGGATCACTAGAGGGCACCTGACTGCTTATTTATAGAAAAACTGCAGTCTGGGATTAAATGAATAATCTGGGCAATCCATTCTGTTACTGTAGCTTTCCTCAATTGTGTGGTCTTCATATATGCCACAATCCCATGCATTTTTGGCTGCTTCATCTTTGAATGCACCAACCTGAGGAAAGCTTCCTAGCCTATGTGAGTCTAAGGGCAAAGTTTTGTGTTTGTGTTTCTCTGACAAACAAAACCCTGTGTATTCAACTAGACAATTTTATCAGCTGAGATAAATGAAGAATAATAAAAAAAAAACCCAAGGAGACTGGCAATACTAATTTAAAAGAAATATAATATAATGATTTGACACATAAACACAACCTTATTATTAAACCAATGGAGCATCTTCCTGCATTAACAGCACATCACTAGAGGAGTTTAAAAAGCAGTCATGGTCCCAACCACAAAACTTGTTGTAAGATGTTGGATAGATCCTGAACAATATTAGCTTTCCCCTGGATTGCTTCTCTCTGGAGTATTCTTTCATTTCCTCATCTTTTTCTTAGAACAGGACATGTGCAAGAAGACACAAAGGTTTCCTTTGCCATATCCCAAAGAGCTATGCATATTTTCACCCAATGAACAAGGATTAGAAAGCAGTGAAGTGTGCACTTCTTCTGTCTTCCATATTTAAATAATGAAAAAACTATTCAGACATCCTCATTCGGATCTGAAACTAGCACATACATTTTATTGATAATTGCTCAGTCTTATTAGATCTGTGTCCTTACTGCTTTATTCAATGGGGATTATAGATGTGGGCACATGCTGAAAGCACACTGAAGATGCTAGAAGCTGACACAATCCTTTTGCAGCACACCAGATTATTATTTATATATATTAAAGAGCTTTTATACAGTATAGCAGAGGCTAGTCAGTTATGGGGAAGATCTCCATATATACAACACATTGCATACTTCTGAACAGAGGAAGTATTCTTAACACTTCAGAACTTTTTTTTTATAAAGTTACTCCATTAAATAGATTTTGGAAGTCATACCTGAAATGTGTTAAATGTCTCTGAATATCCAGATCTAATATTGGAGTAGGTCTTGAGGAGCCCAAAGGTGACCTGTCTTGACTTAGGAGATCCTGGAATTCTTTACATATTTGCCTAGAATCAAAATAGATGCATACTCATTAAGGTTACTTACCATGTTCATTGAATAAATATGTAAGTTTCATACCACGCATGCTTCCCTCAGCAAAATTATACCAATATACAACAACAACATCATCATCATCAACAACAACAATAATAATAACAACAATAATAATAGAGTTGGAAGGGACCTTGGAGGTTTTCTAGTAGTCCAAACCCCTGCTCAGGCAGGAAACCCTATACCATTTCAGACAAATGGTTGCTCAGTCTCTTCTTAAAATCTTCCAGTGTTGGGGCATTCACAACTTCTGGAGGCAATGTAAATTTATGTAAATTTTTACTATAAGAATGAATTGCACTAGAGGCAAATGAATAGCAGAATAGTTGACTTTCTTCCTTTGTCATTGATTGTTACAGAAAAAAAAAAATCTCGATGAGCTAAAATGTTAAGATTACCAAGAACAAGGTCTATAATATGGGACCCCACAGAAGTATGCATCCTTTAAAATTTTGGCAGTTCCCTCTGAACCCTTCCAAAAGTGGCCACTGAATTGCCATTTTATAATGTGCCATTTTTTAATGTGCCAGAATGTAAACAGTATTAAAGAAGTGGGGAGGAATCATATCAATTATTCTGAATTAAAACAAATTCAATCTGAAGTAAATTTAAAGAGAGTGTCCTGGCTGTGCTCATTCATTGTCTTGGCTCCATTCACTTTTTGATATGTGTTCATCTTCCCCTCCTCTCCACTCCCCTCTCCCTGCTTCTGAACCTGCTTCTCAAGAGCCAAGCAGAACTCCTGGCTTGAGAAGCATCATTCATAACTGATAAGTTACTGGCTGGGGTGCACCGGAAAAGATGATCTAACTATCACAATCCACACAATCCACACCCGCACCCTCAACTGGAGGCATTCTTCAGCCAGAAGCCACCAAGACCTTTTCTCCTAGACACATTTGGATGGCATCCCATAGATTTCTAGTCTGGCAAATGACCTTTCTTATCTTTTTCATGATTTCCTCTTAAAGCTGTATATTAAAAAAAATCAAATTAAATAGGCCAGGTACTATTTGGAAATGAAAGCAGAACACACATAGATTCTGTTATCCCCATCTTGAAAAATTTACATCCTGAAAAGCTGTAATGAAACCAGCTAGAGTGAGCCTTCCTTCGGAGGTAGCAGATTAAGCAAAGCTATCTCTCTCTTGGCAGAAAAGGCTCCCTTTGAAATGGTTCATGGCCACTTATGCAGATGCACCAGTTGGCTTGCTTTTGTCTTAGTAAATGTTTTAAGATTCTGTTTGGTCATGGCAGTGTAATTGTTTTTTTTATGGCTCCTTTGGGAAGCTACAGAGCCCTTTATAATAAGGCCAGCTTGCCTCTGGTATATTTGTGCATTTTAGAACTTCTGATTGTAATGTCTGCATGTGGCCTAATAAAAAGGGGAGGCTTGTTTTCTGCCACTTTAAGTCAGTTTGGTGATTTTTTTTGGATTGTGGCCTGCTGATATAGCCAAAGGGGATTCTTTGAAGAGAGGTTACACATCAAGTAGGAAAGAGGTTTCCCTTTCAAAGGAAACAAAAAGCTTGCTACTTTCATGAAATCCTTTGATAGTATATATATTCTTTGCAGTAACCTCCTTCTTGTCACCAGGTTTGAAGACATGGCCATGGAAAAATACAAAGACACGCCTTAGTGGATATGGCTGTTCTCTGTCCTTGGATATAAGCACACACTTAGAACTAGTGCAATATAATGTAGGCAGCCTGATTGATAAACAAATTGGACTGGATTCTTATAAATTAAGCCCCATACAGTCCATAAGAGCACTTAAATCTGGTTTATGTCATACACCTTGAATGGTTTGTGGATCAGATTATAATCCTAAAATGAACCACAGAGTTGTGAAGAAACCACTTTAAAGTCCCTGTTGCAGCCAATGGAATTACCTGAGTATTTTGTTTATATGCCAACAGCATGACTTCATTCAATGCAACTGATATATTTTGTCCACTGTACAATAAAAATGATAAATTAGGAGATCAAATACACCTTACTATGTCCCATAACTTAATACAAACTTGAAAGGAAAAAAATATAAAGCAGACCTGGGCATATTTGTTTGAGTAAGATCTCACTGAACAATTTGATAATCTCTAGAACTGAGCTGAGAATTATTAGTAGAATTTACTTGTAAATCAAACTAAATTCACATCTATGATTAAGGTGATTTGATTATTACATTACTACAGAAAGTATGTATGAAAGTTTTTTTCCCCAAGAATGCCTTCTTAAATCCAGAATATCTATCCACAGTTTATCAATATTTCTTAAACTGTTTGACAAATGTTTCATTTACATAACAAAATAAGAATTCCATTGATAACAAATATGTTTATGTAACAAATATTTCTATGTTTCATTGCAAGAGCAAATTGCTGTAGCAGCAGCTCAACTCTCTGGATTATCCCTCAATGTCTTTGTTAACTGCAGAATCTAGAATTTGTTCATGTAACTTGCTGACATTAATGACGCGCAAAATATTAGCACTGAAAAAACTTGGCTTGAAGTTCAAACCAACTGCTCCAATTTTACTGGAACTGTTTCAAATATTCCAGAAATATTCCAAATCTAAATGAGGTTCAAGCTCATAAAACCTTTGGAATGATCAATAAGTATTGGAACACCTGTAATAAGGGTGGCACAATCCATTTTGAACTTGAAACAACTTTTGTATTATATAGGCTTTGAATCCCCAATCGATATATCTATGGGGAACTTTCTGAAGGTGTATTCTGACATCATTTTCACAATTTTTATAAATAAAGCTTTAGCTTTCCCAGAAAGAAAGAAAGGGACTCTTTCTGCTCCAGTTCTAATCAACTGTAACAGGATAATGATGATATCATTATTTGATGATCACATCATTTAACTGTGATCCATTAGGTGGTTGATGATTCTAGTCATCATCAACAAATCTGTGAGGGGGAAAAAAAGTCTCATTCTCTCTCAATTGTCCTTCGCCATCCAATTAGCCTAGTGAAACAGTAGAGATAGAATGCTGGATGCAACTGCATTTATTTACCATGAAACGAAAATCAAAATAAAGAAAAGGAAAGCATTTCTACATTTAAAGATAAGGAAAAGTACCCTGCCAAGTGATTTGGCATCCTATATTTGACATTGTTGCCTTTCAAAATGTTTTCTTTTGACTGCCAATATATTATTAGAAATGATTTATGGAGCATATCCCTTGCAATATTTCTTTCTAAATAAATCTCAATTCAACGTGAACTGATGTATTAGTAACTCTGGTCAGAATAGCTATCACAGATGCATACTTGACTGCATTAAGGTATATATGAAGGAATGTTATTTTATGCATCCTTCTGGGTCTGTGCACACCTTAAAGTACCACAATATAAATAAATTTTACCTTTGATGCTTTAACTTTTAATTATTTATATTGACTTGTGAAATCCACCCAACTTCAAGACCATTTGCCTTGGAGGCTTAGTATAGGGTTAAAATAAGTAGTTAGCTTTGAGACTCACATGTGAACAAAGCAGTGTTTAAACAACTTACTTTGTTGCTAAGATCATTTTTTTTCTTGCTGTCTGTTCCTTCTGTTCCATGTGTTGCCTGGCAAGATGTTCTCCGACTGCCTTGGCTGGGAATTCAGTTTCACAAGTATAGCCAAAATCCCTGGCCAAATGCAAAGCTTCTCCTATGACCAAACAAAATAACTCTGATTTTAAAAGAAGCATGTATTTTAAGTGGCCCTTTTAAAACCTTGGTTAGTTAAAAAGACTCTTGGTATTTGCCTGAGATGAATCATTCAAGAATATCGCTGCCCACAAGAAGACGACTCCCTCCCCCTTTTAAGATTCATAAACAGGAAGGAGAAAAACCAGCAGCAGTTCTTCACATTAGGAGGTTTCACTTGAACACATAAAGAAATGGAGTTGATCTCTTAGATGAGTTATTGCTGCCATTCCAGCTCTTCCAGTGCCACAGTCAGATGGAATGAAAACTGCTAACTAAAAGCTAAGAGAGGCATCTAATGGAAGTTGCCCAAAGAGGTAAGTGAACCTCCCTCAATCACCTCCCAGAGAGAATAGGATTTGTAATGCTCGTTTAGTACCCCCCACCAGCTAGACAATTAGAAACAATTACCTCCTCCCCAGGTGTTATCATATTTCTACTGTATTTTCCTACTACTTTCATTTACTTTTAAACACTTACAAGCACTTTGTGTGTCTGTATGTCTTGTCACTGCTTTGCTTCTTTTGGATCTTTCATGTATTACTCATATGAAGTGTCTCTACGCTGCACCATAGGCCAACGGAACTGAGATGCTGGATGGTTTACTCAAGTTGTGCCAGTGGCTTGACCAAAAACAAATCCTCACCTCTGAAGCTACATGGTTTTCCTTGAGCTAATGGTTTTCTTCATCCCATCACCCAGGTGTCAGGCATGTATTCCATGCCTTGATAGTCTATCTCAAGAATTGAAATCCAGCTTTGAAGAAGCCAATGCACATTAGAGGAATGCCATGTGAATATCAGAAATGGGTGAAGCAACTATATGACAATGTTAGCTTCTCACCATTTTGTACTTATATAAATTGGATGAATTTGATATTTCCTCAACTTTTCATCTGTGTGACTCAAATTCAGTTCATCATACTCAAGATTTGTTTAAGCATTTGTATTTGTTTTAATATGTAGCTCTCCAAACAATGCAGTTTTATTTGCATAAATATTTATTTGTTCCATTTCTATAGCCACCCATCTCAAACAACTGAGCCTGGGCAGCGAACAATCATAAAACAATTAAAAACAGTTACAAAATTATATATATATATGGCAGCCAAGAAAAAAAATCTCATCATAAATGTCAACACAACCAGAAAACAGGACCCTTCACACACTTGGGGCCTTCGGCCTGGGCACAAAACCAGGTCTTCTTATAAAAGGCCAACAGGGTTGGGGCCATCCTCAAATCTGAATGGAGAGTGTTGCAGAGGGCAAGGACTGTGGCAGAGAAGGCACATCACCTAGTCTCAACCATCTGACATTCCTTGGCTGATGGGACATATAGAATGTGCAGCCTAATTTTAACATTTTGCCCAGCCCAAATTAGCATTCTGCCTAATATACCCAATTCTCCTAAAATACTTCCTACTACTATGTATGTGTTGATATATTTGATTTCTATCTTACAGGCATTTTTAATTGGAACATTTCATGGGAAAATTAAGAAAATGTGTGGATTTTTAAGTCTAACATAGCTTAGGAACTTAGTTATAAAAATGAAATTAGAAAACTCTGTATCTGAATGCAAGACAAACACATTTTGATGTTATCTTAACACAGTAAGAGCTGTGGTCTTGTGATCCAATGACATATAAATATGTGAAAGAACTTTATTCAAGAAAAAACTGCTGACAGAACACTTAAACAACATTTACTATTTTTAATGCCTGCTGGCTTGGGCTTATTTGATAAAATCGTGGCAATCTTGGGGAACTGCCAGTTCACAATCTTCTCCTTCTCTTTCTCTTTTGTGAATAAATATGAGCTTTATATGTATGCATGAGTACATTGCATGTATGCATGAGTCCATGCACTGTAGTGGACTTATTTCCTCATTTGATATCTTAATCAGGAACATCTCTGTGATGTATCATGAAATTCAGTTCATAACAGACTGTGATCTTACTTGAGAAAAGATGATATAGGATGCATTCAGCCCAAAGTACTAGAAGAAGAATGCTTGGCTATAATGAGTAGAAAGAGGTTTCATAATAAATAGTTACCAGAATAATAAAAACAATGAGGAGCAGAATTCTTTTCTGAGATATTGCTATCCTAGATCCAGAGAGGCAGCCACATAAAGAAAGACTGATAGGCGAACAGGCACAAACCCAGTCTCTAAAGCACAAATGGTAGGAAGACATTAGACCTCTCCAAGAAAAAAAAGATCCTTTGATAAATTGTAGGAGGGCAGTGGTTGAAAATAGTGATGAGTAAGTAGCACATCATGATTGGTGGAGAAAAATTGGGTTCTTCTTATAAAGTTAGGGGAGACCCCCAAGGAAGGACAAAACAAGACACCGATGGAAAAAATCCCTTTGTCCCCCTTTCTATTTTCTAGAATTGCTATGGACATTGCTGGTCCCTTGCCAAAGTCAGCAAAAGGAAATCAGTCTATCCTTGTAATTTCTGATTATGCTATGAGATGCCCTGCGGCAATTCCCTTCTGCAGTTACCACAAAAGTCATTGCCAATGCGTTGCTTAAACTGTTCAGTAGAGTGGATGTACCTAATGAGATTTTCACAGATCAAGCCCCAAACTTCCAATCTGCTTTGCTAAAGCATTTATATATATAGCACTGGGGATATCTGGCAGGAGAGCCCACAGACAGATGGATTAACTGAATGATTGTATCAGACTCTGAAAAACACATAAAAGAAATCTGCCCAGGATGACTCAAACACTGGAATGTGTGCCTTCCTTATATAGAAAAGAGTCACAGACTTTCCCCAGGAATCAGCCCTTTTTGAATTGCTGTGTGGAAGATAACTAAGAAGAATCATAGATGGGGTGAAGGACAGTTGGACTAGTAAAGTTCCTAATAAAGTTCTCAGCCAAAGACAAAAACTGCAGAAACTAGGTGACGAGACAAAGAACATCCAAAACTACTGCCAACTATGCAAAATGCAGGTATGATATAAAAGCCAGAAACAAATCACTAGAAGGGGCAGAGAGAGTGTTGCTTCTGTTTCCTGCCAGGAATGCAAAATGGAACCTGCAAAATAGACTTGAGAGTGAAGAAACTACAGTCTGTCATGTCAGCCAGTGGATTGAAAGAAAGTGCCCAGTCTAGAATGGTGACCTCGTAAATTGGATTATTCAGCAGAGCAATTATAAACCTGCTTGTCACATACACTTATGCCCAATGCATTGAGACATGGTAGAACTCAGCTTAACTTCACCACAAAAAGCAAATCTAAAAAGATTTCAATGATATTTTTACAAATAAGCCAGGTACTACTACATTAGTAGAGCTCAGAAATAGAGGTAAATCTTATCATATTACAGAGATACCCTGAACAAAGAAGAAAAAAAAATCTTTTCTTGAACCATCTTCTAATAAAATGGTCTTCACCCATAGTGTTAGTTCGTAAGACAAAAAGAGAAGTTAAATTTTGTGTAGACCTAACACTTCTTAAGCAAGCAACTGTTTCATAACTAGCCTGGCCTAAGAATAAATAATATAACAAGTATATATGGAAAATACTTATTTACTTTGGATTTAAGTGAAGGCTATTGACAAATTGCTCTCAAGGTAACTCCCAAAGTGAAAGCTTCTTCTGTAAAGACAGTCTTCATTTAGAAATCACAACTGGGAGCCACAACTCAGTCATTAAGCAGAATGGTTTTACTATTGTGAATCCATGATTTCACATATGATCTTCCGCTTTCCTTTGATTTAACAGACCAGCAAAGCTTATAAATATGAGGATTGGTTGCAAAAGTATATTTTCATCACCAGTGTACTTTAACTGCAAACTATTGCTGTATAAGGAATTTGCTAAACAAGGACTACCTGTACTTCATATAACAGAACTCCTACAACTCTCCAGAGACCAAATACTTCTATCTAGGCCAAAGAAAATGCTATGAACCATATTTGGATGATATCGTTATTTATTGCAGAAGAACATGAGGAACATTACCCAATTATTTGAGACAGTCAGTGTGACTGTCTGTGGGGTTTACTTTCTGTCTATATAGAAGTAGCTTGCCCTGCCAGTTTTGGTGGGGTGTTGCTTTCTCCTTGGCAATTCCTTGACTAGGGTATTGTTTTCTGCTTGTCCTGTTAATCCTGTTTATTTACATGTTAGTTGCTAAAGAGGATGTGCTCTGTTTTTTTTTTCTTCTTGGTTTTTTTATTGTCTCTTTTGAAAGTGCATAAATATGGTTAATTTCTATGTGTCTATTGATGGCTTATGTCTTATTTAGGTTACACCATTGGCTTGATGTCTTACTTAGGTTACATTTATAGATTAACAAGAAGTTAAGATGGAAGAGCAGAAAGTGCAAACTGTTCAACAACCTCCAACATCCAAAATGGAAGTAAGATCTTTGCCAGAGTTGTGGGGTTCTATGGCTGATTAGTGTCTCATTTTTCAATTAAAGCAGTCAATGGCATCAAAATGGTGAATGCAGCTAGGTGATCAAACCCATGTCTCTTTTATGTTTGTGTACATGATACATATGACTCACCTTAAAAGGGGGAGGGTCATCCATCACCCAGTTGTATTCACTATTTTGATGCTGGATATCCCTGCTGCAATGCAAACACTCTACTTGTAATCTGGAGGCAGTTCAATAAAGTTCACTAAACTCCCAAGCGGTAACAGGCATTTCAAGATTTAAAGAGAGCTTTCTGTAGGCATCCTGTGTTAAGAGGAATTTTTCTTTTGTTCTGTGCATTGAGACTTCTGATGTGAGGTTGAGAGCAGTGCTAATGCAATAATTTTAGAACGAGGTATATTGAACCTTTTATCTTTCAAAAGTTCTTACCAAGGGAAAAGGGGTATGTGGGATCAAAAATTCACAGCAACCACAGTTCACAAACTTCAACTTTGGTTAGAAAGAATGAAATACTCTTAACAGAGAAGTAGCAGACTGGTATTTGACACTGTAATCATACAAATTTGTTCTGCTGCATTATTCAGGAAAACAGCACCAAATTGCTCATTTCCCGCCTAGATAGGGAACTGGCCTAGAGATTGCTATCTATAACAAAAGTACAAATGAACTTTGTAAAGGCTTCAGAATAATAATAGTAATAGTAATAATAGTTGGTGGTGTGCCTCTAGCTGCTATGGCTGTTTGTTGGCTCATCCTACTTGCCCATAGCCACCATATCACTTTGTGCTGGAATGGATGTAGTGGCTGGCAACCCAGGTGAGCTTAGCTATTGATTTATGGTTAAAGTTATAAAAACAATGTGCTGAAGGTTTGTTAAAACAAGAAAAATCTGAAGAAGTTTACTGAAGATAGTTGATGTAGAAAAAAATGCTAGAGTTCTACAGAGGATGACGATGGCAATATATGATCTATTCTGTGCAGATGGACAAAGGTAAAGGATAAAAATCAAACTATTTTATCACCCCAAGAAAAGCCAGCTAACAACCTGACAAATGATCTTGCTTTGCAGTATAAAATGCAAATGGCATTTCTGTATGATCAAGACTTGAGAGGAGGGAGGAATTCACAATGGAATTCACAATGTGGTTAGTTAAGTTTATCAAGTGAGGCTAAGAGAACAAGACTTTTGTTGCCTACAAAAATCTGGAGTTGTGTGCTGAACTTTTTAATCAAATCCTAAGAGCCCACATCAGCAACAATCTGTTTTGTGGAAAAGACTGAAATTATAAAACATCTTTTCCTAAGCCATAGACGTATTCTTATTCTCCTGTCCTCTATGAGACAGATGGAGACAATGATGGAGAAACACAAGACTCCCTTCTCTACTCTCTACCCATTCTCCTGCAAAACTAAAGCTGCAAAATTGCTGTATATTATTTCTAGTTTAAAATTGCTTTATCTTTTATCAGTTGACACAACTGATGCTGTGATGGGGGATTGAAAAAAAAAAGCATGCTATCTTACTGAAACAAAAGTTAGCCTTACTGCTAGGACAAAACATCATTCCTGAATTTTTCTTTCTCAACTGCTATTATAAGAACAACACATTGGTTCCTAAAGAGTCTCTCTTGTATATAGGTTAACTGATAATCCCACTAATGAAAGTGGATAATATTCTTTAAGCTGCTAAAACATAATCTGAGTGTTAATTTTGTGTGTGTTCTAAATCCTAGTTTGGAGGATGCTCATTGGTTTATTCCTACATATTGCTTGATACTGTAAATGTAGACACGTGTGAACAAAAACTTTCATGTGCTGCAACAACTATTTTGTCAATTAACTTTTGCAATTGCATGCATCCTGCTAAGGATTTACAATAAATATCAGCATGATTCTATTAATTTCCAAATTTCTCTTTCTATCTCCCATCCCACTCCATCCTCTCTCCAATTATTTCTCCATCTGACATAAAAATGTAGAAGGGGTTACCAGAGGAATCTTCAGGAATCATGCCACTTATATTAAATGCATGATCCCTATGGTCACTTTGTCTAAATGATTTTTAAGAACCTTCTCATTTGTTTCAGAACACTCAGAAATGTAACTCAGGAGCAGAAGGCGAAAAGTCTTAACATCATGGTTAGAATAAATCTTACCTTCCACCAAGGATGTCAAGAGGGTGACATTAGCTGCTTTTCTTCTTCCGGCAGGCAGATTGAGGCCCAGCCTATCCAATTTCTCTCTTAAACACCGCCCTCCATTTTTGGATTTTGCTCTATCAGGAAAGAAATGTGGAAGAAGGTGAAGACAATCTTCTTTTTACCGTTGCTGGCATTTGTTTTCAATTGTTTGATTATTTACAAGTATCCCCAATCTCTGCTTAAGAGCTGCATGTTCTTAGTTTGCAACTAAATATCTTTTCTTCTACAAGAATAATTAAAATGGAACAATAAGCAAGGATATGGATGCTGTTCCTCCATCTTCTAATGCAGAGGTCTCCAACCTTTTGGGCACCAGGGACCAGTTATGTGGAAAGAGGTTTTACCACGGATCAGAGGGGGCGTGGTTTTGTGTGCTGCCTGCATCCTGTGGATGGGGCTTTCCTTGTTTATGTGGCCTGATTGCTGACATGCCAGGGCCCGGTACTGGTCCACGGACTGGGGGTTGGAGACCCCTATTCTAATGTATAGTTTTTTATTTGCCCTCGTGCCCTTTGCTTTTTGTTTCTTACCTTCTCAAAATCCCTCCCAACAGAGAGGCATTGAGACATTCTGGTGGAGACAATCGTCTTTTCACTTCTGCAATGGTCACTTTGTATTTGGAAGTGGAGCTGAGTAATGATAAGCGACCAGGAACTGAGCAAAAGAGATCTGTGGGATTGACGACACACGTACCACCTGAAACGTAGATTAAAGTACATTATAAGCCCAAGAACCTGTGAACTGAAATGGTACCGATGACACCGAAATCTCTGCCAATTTTATTACTTTCAAAAGCACATCTCAATAAGCAGAATAATTGAGACATTTTTAAAGTACAAAAGTAATTCATAATTCATAAATAGAGATACAATTTAGACTTGGGGTGGGGCTTTTTATTTCTTTTATAGTGAGTCCCTACAAAGGAAAGCCGCGCACATGTGGGCTTCCATTTAAAGTAACTGCTGGTATCAGAAGAAGGGAGAAATGCTGGCTGGAAAGAGATGCCTAGCACACTGCAATATCCACAATAAATTACAATTATGCCCACATAATGCCATATTCACAATAATGCCATAATCCAAATGTTCCTGTTATAATTCTTGTGTCTCAGTGTCTGGTGCAAGCCATTAAAATGTGGGATGCTGTCACCACACTGTGTTATTTGCTCTCCTCTTGCTTCCTGTGTGAACCCATAAGCTGTAGACCTAAATTTCCATATGCCTGTTTAAAGGTTGTAGCACACAAATCCATGGCCCTTTAGATTAAAAAGAGACCCTCAGTGCCCTAGTCCATATTGCCTTAGACACTGGGTGACCCTGGGCCAGTCTCTCTCTTTCAGCCCTAGGAAGAAGGCAAGGACAAACCACTTCTAAAAATCTTGGTCCTGGAAGTTGCCAGGAGTCAAGACTGACTTAAGGGTCCATCTTTATTATGCCATTTCTATCTGTCATGTTTTTGCACTCAGAAATAACCTTCTTTTAAAAATTCAATCAGTTTTGTTGTTGGCATTTTGAACATTTTTATAAACTGAGTTATTTCAGGAAACCTTTGAGATATGAAGTGACTGCTTTTTATTGGTTTGGAAGTGTGTGATGTTGGTTGGATCAATTTTATCTTTTTTATTTTATTTTGATGTATTATATGTGGCTGTCTCATTGCTCTAATAGTCTTTTTTATTGTGATGGGTATAAATATAATAAATAAAGACATACAATTTGTTGTCATTAAAAAATATTAACTTCAGATATTTGCCCCATTTCTTAGCTGTAAATAATAACAGCTATATACTAAAACACAGATATGATGAGAAAGTTCACAGAAACACACAACTGATGGTTGCTTCCTCTCTTTCCATAACATCACTGATTAAAAGAAGAGAAGCATTTACATAATTGTTTTATTTGTTCACTTCATTCAGCAACCCATCCTCCATTAAAAAGGTGACAAAACAAATTAAAAACTAAAAATACCATGAAGGATAGTAAAAAGTAATAAAATGAGCACCCGTGAAACCAAAAACTACATTTGTTATCATAGTTTTTAACTAATCATGAAAGCTGAATCAAAGATTGGTTCAGCACAGTATCAATGGAACCAGTAACTTGTGTATTTCTTCACAGAAAGAGTTGCACATTTGGGACATCACCACAGAAAGAGCTTGTTATATATCATTCACCTTATGTATTTTCTTTTGTATCCTTTAAAAAAATTCAGTATGTATTTTAACTCCTTTACCCAATGTTTTAATTGTAGCTTTCTTTGCAATTTCTTTTAATAGGAAGTGATATTGAACTGCTTCATATAAATTCATAATTTCCATTATGCTATTCCCTTTTGAAATAAGCAGTATCATGCAAAGCAGACAAAAAGAGTTACAAGTAATAAGATAAAGAAGTTAAAAGCAAAAGAGAAGAGAAAATAAAATTTACCTAAATCCAATCTACACCAACACCACTCATCGTAACTCTCCATAACTTTCTAATCCTTTAAGTCATCCTTGCATTCAGTCAATCAATTCATGTAGTGCCTCCTGTTTTCACAACTTCTTCTCTCTCTTTTTTAAAACCCTTCAACATCCAACATCTTAGCTTTCAGCGTCTTCCCTTCCTCTTGACAATTCAGCTGGTGTAGAATGCAGCAGCACAAGTAATAAATGGCATGGAATACTCAGCATACAAGGTACAAAATTTGTTGGTGTGCTTCCAGGGGCAATTCAAGGTGCAACTTGTCACCTTTGAAGCCCTTCTTGGATTGGGACTGCGCAACTTGAGGGACTGTCTTTCCCAATTGTTTCTACTTGCCCAATCCAGTCCACCAGGATGGACATTCTTTGGGTTCCGTCAACTAAGCACTTTGATGGGCAGGACCTGAAGGTGAGCCCTGCCTGCCACAGCACCAATCCTATTGAACATTCTCCCTCTGTAGATCAGAATCAGAATCCTACAGGCCTTTCATGAGGCCCTAAAAATCTGGCTTTGTGACTGGGCCTGAGGCCCAGAGTAAGTGCAGAGACACAGTTTTTGGATGTATTAGTAATTATGGAGTATGATGTTTTCTTAACTTCTATTTATTTTATTATTGTTATAATTGTTTTTGTATTTGATATATATTTAATTCACCACCACTTGTTTAGAAAGGCAGCTACACAAATCCTTTGTTATTTGTTTGTGATACACTCCTTATTTATTTTCACTACATGATCAAATTTCTAGAGCATAGTTTTATTTACTTTTTTTATCTGGACCACATTCATTCACACAGATTCATTTCTCAACCTATCTCTTCTTTTTGTATCATTCATACTTAAGCAACTCATTCCCACTGCACTCAATTTACATTTATGGTTTTCCCGCCCTAATTATTCACGTTATATAGTAAAGTGAGCAGAAGCACAATTATACAAACGATCATTTTGCTTCTCTTGACAAACATTCATTCCTCACAATAGGCCACATGCTGTCTATTGTCCGCCTATCAACATATTCACTTCTTCCAATTTCTCCATCCTTCTAACAAACATTTTATCAAGATGTATGACTTTAATTATTTTGTCTATTTTTCCAGTTCTCTATATCTTTCAAATGTTTACTCTTTTTTCTCTGCCAACACAACTATTTTAGGTGTTGATATATTACTTTCCAGAGTCATACGTCTCATTGCACCATACAGCCTATCTAACATTTGCTGCAAAGGGCATCATCTCCATACGAAGTGACATGTACCTTCATATCTCAAAACAACACACCTGTAATATTACCACAAACATTCCTTATACTTTATTCATGAATAGATTCAACAACCAAACAGGTACAGTACTTTCTTATCACCCGCCCTGCTTCATAAGATTCTACTTATTCTTACATTTGCTATATTTCCATTATATACTGCTCTTTTTACATATGGCAACCAACTTTCAACTCCATATTCAAATGGAATACTTTATCATTCAAGCTATTCACTTTTCTTGTGGGAAAATGCTCACTTTAAAAAAGGAACCAAAATGTTTGGATACACATGGCATAAAAACTATAGTGATTACTGAGCTCCTGATGCAAAGAATGCAAAACAATCCCAAACTAACCAATGTTATGGGTTATATACCCCAGCACTGTTACATAGGGATAAAGAAAACAATGTAAATTATTCTATGACCTTTGTTGCTGGATTTATGGTCTGACCCAATGCCTCTAAAAAAGGTTCCAAGCCCATCTTCTTTTACTGATTTTAGCACCCATATAATGTCTTTTTTTACATCAGGAAAAAGGCAAAAATCCAGTTTCTGTTATCAATCTCCTTCCCCACCAGAGTCATCTGGCTGTTTCAGTCCATCTGTTCTGTTAATATATATTTCAGAAACATAAGGAAAGGGTAAGATATTATTTATTCCCCACACTTTAGGTAAAACAACCTAAACTAAACTTTCTCTCATTCACACATTTTCAATTCAGGTAGTTCCTGACTTATGACCAATTGCTTAGCAACTGTTCAAAGTTATGACAGATCCCCGAAAAGCCACTTATGACCCGATTTTGAAGTTATGACAGTCATACTGCCAGAGTCACATGATTGCATTTTGGATGCTTGACCTCTGGTTCATCTTTACAGCCATGTGCAGCACGTGACCATGGGGTGTTTTTTGTTTTTGTTTTTGTTTCTGGCATTTACATTTGGTTTCTGGCAAAACAAAAAACCCCATCCATTAGATAAAATGGATTTGCTTGATCACTGTGGCAGTCACTTAACTGCCACAAAAATGTCATAAAAATTGGGTCTGATCACATGTTGACTGTTAAGGACCCCAACTACTTACAACCCCTGTTAAGGACCCCAACTACTTACAACCATAATTCAGAGCTCAATTACATGCACATGTTGAGGACTACATGTAACTCAGTGAAGAGCAAAAATCTGCTCTGCACAGCTCGGCTGAGCTCATACACTCCCATACACGGTCAAGCAGAATTCTGCTCAGCAGTTTCCAGGCTTACTTCACAACTAGCAGCCTTAGAACTGGCAGTGAAGATATTGTAGTGGTGGACAGGTTCTGCCTTTTAGGACCAAGTATCAATTATTTTTATTATTTTATACAGAGCTTTCTCACTGATTTATTGATGACAGCATTTTAAACTTCTGGAAGACAGCAATTCTCTAATTGTTCTTTTCAATTCTCTAATTGTTTTTTTCATACAAAGCAGGCATTCAATTATTGCACCACAATAGGCTAGTATCACAGGAATGGGGAAATTGTGGCCTCCAGATGTTGCTAAATCACAAATCCCAACACTCCTCCTGCTTTTGGCCATGTTGGGTGGAACTGTTTTAACATTTCTTTTTTATGTGAGTTTCCACTGAGAAATTGTATGGACATTACTTGAAGCCAAATAATGGCCAAATCTGGGAGGACTCCCCGGTCCTTAGTATATAGGTCTCACTTAACTTACTTTATCAGAAGAATAGGATTAAGATCTCAAACAGATGTAATAGTCAATGTGAAGGACCTTAAGGAACAGACTCCCAAGCACATACAGTCTTTTTTTTTAGGGGAAGGGATCCTGTTCTCTGTGTTATACTTGCCCATGACAAAGAGATGGGACTTGTTTGTTCAAGAATGTCCTTTCCATATGTTGACAAATTTCAGGTGTTCCTGATATCCTTTGATATTGGCCTTCCCCAACCTAATTCTTCCTTTCCACTTA